GGTTCTCCTCCTCCGCTAACCCTCCCACCAACTCCGACTCCAGGGGCTGCTGTCACCGCCGCTTCCGCGCAGCCCCCTGGGCCTGCACCTCCAATCACTCTGGAGCCTCCAGCTCCAGGGCTGAAACGGGGCCGGGAGGGGGGCCGAGCGTCCACTCGTGATCGCAAGATGCTCAAGTTTATCAGCGGCATCTTCACCAAGAGCACAGGAGGGCCTCCTGGCTCCGGGCCCCTTCCCGGACCCCCCAGCCTGTCTTCTGGCAGCGGGTCCAGGGAGCTGCTGGGCGCCGAGCTCCGCGCTTCCCCTAGTGAGTTGAGTCAGGGCTTGAGAACACGAAGGGAAGGGTACCTGGAATGCTCAGCTTGGGGTGGAGGAGCGAGGTGCAGGAGACTAGGGAAGCTTTTCTCTGGGGTGGGCGGATGAACCAAGCTCACTCCTCTGCCAAGGATTGGGGCAAAGAATAGGAGTCCTGAAGCGGGGTGAGTAGCTACATTGTGCGACATGAGAAATGACTTGATTTCAGAGGGACTAAGAGAGCCTCAGAGCTTTCTGGGAAAATAATGCCCTTGGTCAGAGTGACTAGAAAATTGCTCCCAGAGAAGCCCAGGACCCCACTTCCAGCCTCAGCTGAACTCTGGGAGCATGGAAACGGGGATTTGCCTTATTTAGAGGGACGTTGAAGGTGAAGAGGATGAGGAAGCCTCAGTTTCCCCTGAGCACTTAGGGCAGGTGGCATGACAGTGACCTTGCAGGCAGCTTCTCGCCAGGGACCAGTCGTCCCCTGGGCTGAGAGCAGGCTAGTGATGTTTTCCGTGCGGTAAAGGCGGATTGGGTGGTACGCGAGTGTGCGGGGGCTGGAACGTGCAGAATATTTAAACGTGAAGTGAGGGGGGCGGATAGGAAGCCTCACTTCCCCCATTGCTAGCCCCCTCCCCAGAACCGCACTGAAACCCACCCGGGGCTGACCCCGGAGTGAGTCAGTGGGAGCGGAACTGCTGCAAAGGCAATCCGTACCTTGGGAGACTTGGGAGGCGGTACGGGGAAGGTGGTGTTTTTTACGGGGGCAGGGTGTCTATTATTATTACTATTTTCTTACTGGAGGAGATAAGCAGGAGACTCTTGGTTCGGCTCACACTCCCGGGAGAGGAGGCGGGTCCGGGAGCGGAGGCGGCCCCCGGGGTTTGGCTCCAGAGCGGGTGGGAGCAGATGGCTCCGGATCCCAGAGTTCCCGCCGCAGCTGCGGCGCCCCGGGAACG